AGTTCAGATGGACGCATCTAGTCATGATAACAGAAATAGCACAAGTACATACAAAATTGATCATTAACTAATATTTATTACTTGTTTTTCCTTGGTTTTGCATGCCTAATGTTGTAGTAAGTAGGATAATGTGATTGTTCTATGCTTAATGATCAATCTTTCACTAAAGTTTTTCATCCTTTCTAAAGGAAACATGAATGCAAGAAAAAATAGTGCATGCCTTTTTTTAGGTAGCCTGAGATTTTAAAATGTTTAGTTGGGATGTTGCAAATAACATACAGGCTTACTTCCCTGCGCAAAAGCTTTATTCTGTTGGAATTTCTGTTTTATTGGGAAGTGTAGTGACTTTGCTTTTCCCTTTTGCTCTTTCCCATTGTTGTATAAACCTATAAGAAGTATCTCATATTCACATAATATGTGGTCTACTAATAATAGTGGTTCATGCAGTTCGAAAACTTGATGTTTTGAGCTACCTAGGAGAAAACGCAGAATACTTATCACATCCTCCAAAGGAGCACTTAGTTGAGAAGGTAAGTTTTACTTTCATTGTATTTTCAGCATGTTCCTATGCTGTTCTTGTAACAAATTTTCTATTTAGCTAGTATAGGCATTTATATTCTTGTTTTGCAGTATTTCGATCCAGGCAACATGTCATCTGCAGAAAAAATGAAGCTGGAGCTTAAGAAGGTCAGAGATGAATTTAAAATGTCAGAGTCAGATTGTGGTTCTGTTCGTGTTCAGGGTAACTGTTTCTGAGCTTTGTTAATACATAACTCTCTATAGTTCCTTTTGTATCAATGCATTTCTTGCCAATTAGTTGACTGCTGAATCTTTTATTCATTGCCTCATTGGTTCTCCTCCACTTTTTGAATACTAAACAGAAAATTACTATATTTGTGAACTTATTTTATTCAGTTATCTCTGTATTGTGCATGCTATTTTTCTCTCACATTTTGTCTATGTTGTACTCCATCCAACCACATGGTTGTCAGGTTGTGGGCTGTATATTTTCCTATTTAGGTTATGCTTTTTTTTCCAGCTCCATCTCCTTCACTGTTTGAATGCCAATAGAAAATCAATATATTTTAAAATTTGTTTTTGTTCCTCTATTGGGTTGCTGTGTTTGTATTTTCTTTTATCAAGGATGTTTTTTACCTTCCAAAGGGTGGCACTGCGAATGTTTCCCTATCTTGTTTTATGCTATTTTGTCTCGGTTTTTCAGTGGAGGATTGGAGTGAGATTTGAATGCAGGCCAAAAAACCTGGGAATTAGTTGATAATTTGCTTTATGATTATGTTCCTCCATTTTTTTTTAATGTTCAATGCCTTTGAAGCTTTTTGTGTGGTTTCACTTAGGATATTTTCATGCTGTTAATTCTGACTAGTGAGATGGAGTTCGAGGTCCTGTGCATCAGTACATGTTAGTGGGGTTTTTTTTGGGTACATACATGTGCATGGTTTGGTCTGTATTTTGTTGGCTCTGGAGAAACAATGAATTGTTATTCCCCATCTTACCCAAAATCCCCCATTCCTCTTATGGTCACAATTCTTATCCACCATAAGAGATATTTGTCTTAGAGACAGGTGATTTGATGTCATAGTTTATGTTTCTCATCACTATCACTTCTGCATTCCCTACTTCTATTGGTTCATTTTTATACATATTTATTTAGATAAGTGGCTTTAGAATGGATGTTATTTAGATGTCATAGTTACCCAAGATACACACTTTTGTTAAATTCAATTTACAAGTCACGCCTGATCAATTATTACACGAGTTTAATGCTTTCTTCATTCTTATGCAGTGGCTCAACTTACAACCAAGATCAAACACCTATCAGGTGTTCTCCATAAAAAGGTAAGTTTTATCTCAATATGTAATCATCTTCATCATTGGTGTTTCATAGACGGAAAAGGTACTACGAGTTGCTATTTGCATTCTTGAATTATTATTATTTTTTAAATCAAATGATTGAGGAAAGACAAAACTATGATAGACTGATAGTGTCTCCTAGACTAATCAATATGTGGGCAACCTGTAAAACGTCTTGCATTTACATGATGTGTTTCACTTTATCATTTCATCAATCCAAGAATGAATTGGATGTACATCTTCAGATCTTATGACATTTCCAAATTTGTACTTTATCATCACGGCACTTGATGAATTGTATATGATTGCCTCTTGCGCCTTTGTGTTTTAGGATAAACATTCTCGAAAGGGTCTTCAAGCAATGGTCCAGAAGCGGAAGAAGTTGCTGAAGTATCTTCGAAGGACCGATTGGGAGTCTTACTGCCTAGTGCTATCTAAGTTTGGTCTCCGTGACAATCCAGATTACAAGAACTAAACCAGCACCTATTGAATTCCATGTAAGTTTAGGAGATAATTCTCATTTTTTTTTTTATGGGCGTTGCATCTTTCCCTTTCCATGTTTAGTTCGGAAAGAAAGGTATGCTTCATTTCCCCTCCCTTTCCTCCTCCTCCGCCATATTTTCCTCTATGCAAAGCGTGCAGAGATGCACTTCCTGCACAAATAGTTTACAAGTACAATTTGTACTGTATCTTTCTTATCCAACATCTTTTCCTTCTCTGTAGTAGAACATTCTCAATTTTTTTTTTTTTTACTTAGTGTTTATTCATTTCTGAAGTAATAATGTTTACTGTTTTATAATACGGAGTAATAATAATAATAATAATAATAATAATAATAATAATAAATGGTAATGGTAATGGTAATGGTCATTCATAGTCATGGTAATTGTAATGGTAATAGTAATGGTAATGGTAATTTTGGTGAAAGTATTTTGCATGTTTGATAGTAGGGTGGAATTGGAATGATTACCAATATTGATGTTTGGTTATGTATGACCCTTATAATGGAGGGCAAATTATACCATGGACCAGGGTCTACCTTGCATTGTAGATCGTCGTCTAAAAATAACTTTCAGATTCTGTATGTATTGTCGACACATTCTGTGCCTGTAGTTATCATATTATGTGTTAGCAATTATCAAGTCAGATTCTGTATCTATAGTTGGCACATTTTGTACATGTAGTTGATAATTTCTGTACCTATAGCTATCATATTATGTGTCAGCAATTATCAAGTTTGATCCGGGTAATTTCTGTGTACGTAGGATGTATGTATGAACAATGATGTAGACCAGAGAAGTATAGTTCAAGGGTTCTTTTATTCATGTTGTTTTTCTATCCTTGTAGAGAGAAGGGAGGGGAAAGAGTGTATAGAGAGAGAGTAGAGCTAGGGGAAATGAAGGGAAGGAACCTATTTATAGGGTCAGGGTTGACCTTGACTCGACCCAAGTAGGAGCACGGAGCGTACGGGGAGGTTGAACTTGGGGTATATTCCCCATCAAAGTTATTTGTTTACATGTACAAAAATTGGTAATTGTAGGTACAAAATATGTTAACTGAATGTACAGAATTTTTGTATTATGGTTCACAATACAATATGAACATTAGTCCATGGTATAACAATTGATAATGGAGATAAAGTTTTAAAAATACAAAATACAAAATACAAAAAATTAATGCAATTGATCTTAATATAATTATATCCAACGTACCAATATGACAAAATAAAACAAAAATCTAAGGGATATAGTGAGGAGGCAACAAATTAGGAGGTGATAGATGAGGAGGGATAAGATGGAATGATATCCATTTTTAATTAGAGAATGTGATTTTTAATTGAAGTGATAATCAAATCTTATTGTGTTTTAACCATACAAATATGATTTTGATTTTCATTCCTAGTATGTAAACTCATGAACCAAACACAAAAATAATAGAGGGTGGGTAAATGCAATGGCCATGACGACTTTCATTCCCTCAGAGACAAATGACGCAGCCTTCGTCCTCACACATTGTAACAGAGTCAGCAGTACTAAAAAAACAAAAAAAAAAAAAAACACTACAATAGTTTTTATTTATTTATTTTACTGATAGTACCTAATTGCATTATTCATGCTCTATTTACGCAAATTATGCCATGGAATCGTGTTCACCGAGAATGGTGAATACAAGGCAAAACGACGTCGTTTTTAGGCAAAAAAAAAAAAATTTCGCGGATGTGGAGTTAACGGCGCGCGTTTGATCAAATTCTGAATTTTCTGTTATGAGATTATGAATTTTATGAAAATTTATAATCTCATAACAGAAAATTCATAATCGCATAACAAAAAATTCATAATCTCACAACTGAAAATTCATAATCTCAGAATAGAAAATTCATAATCTTATAACAGAAAATTCATAATCTCATGGTTCCAAAGTGAATGTGTAGGCATGGTTCCAAAGTGAATGTGCAGGCATGGATTCATAATTTATGAATGTCCGTAATTTCGGACGGGAATATGTAGGCATGGTTCCAAAGTGAATGTGCAGGCATGAATTCATAATTTATGAATGTCCGAAATTATGAATGTAATGAAAATTCATAATCTCATAACAGAAAATTCATAATCGCATAACAGAAAATTCATAATCTCATAACTGAAAATTCATAATCTCATAACAGAAAATTCATAATCTCATGGTTCCAAAGTGAATGTGTAGGCATGGTTCCAAAGTGAATGTACAGACATGGATTCATAATTTATGAATGTCCGTGATTTCGGACGGGAATGTGTAGGCATGGTTCCAAAGTGAATGTGTAGGCATGAATTCATAATTTATGAATGTCCGAAATCTTTGTTCACCTCAAATTAAAGTGAAATTGCAAAATGTGAAAATAAAAAAGAAAAGTCATGCAATTAATTTTTTTAAAAAAAAAAAAAAAAAAAGATAACGGTGTACTAACACCGTTAGAACCGTGTTCACCATTTCCATGGCATAACGTCTGGTTTTAAATGGTCATGGCTAGATCGAGACGACAACCGAACAACTGTCTTCATTCGATATTTTATTTTATTTTTTAGTTTTTTTATTAAGTTCTTTCTTGCAATTCATCACGCGAAATAATATCACAAAAAAAGAAGAATTATATAGCGGGCTTGATCCATGAACGTGGGAGTTGGCCCAAGCCCACATTAGCGTCGACTTTCATTACGCTACCCTGAGATACTTAGCCACCACCGTGCGCGGTTCATTCCTCCGCACAAAGGCGGCGATGGGTTGCTCAGCTCTTCCCATGGCCTCCTAATGACATTCAAACACATCTCCGCTCTTTCTCTCTTCCGGAAACCAAACTCCTCCTGCTCAACCTTCCGCCAAACCCATTCCATGGCCGCCCAAGCTGTAGCTGCCTCTTCTGCAGACCTTCCCCGCATCGAAGACGACCTTCTCTGCGCAGAGAACGCCGAACCCACGGCCCTCAACTCGGAGGAACAAAACTTTCCGTCTTCTGATTTGGGGCGTCCGCATGGGTACTTGAGTGGGGAAGCGCGGATTGAGAGAGCTTGGGCTCACTGGAAAATGCTGGGGCAGCCCAAATACATAGTCGCCCCCATGGTCGACAACTCCGAGCTTCCTTTTCGTATGCTTTGTCGTAAGTTTGGCGCCCAAGCTGCATATACGCCTATGCTCCATTCCCGTATTTTCACCGAGAATGACAAGTATCGATCTCTAGAATTCACTACTTGCAAGGTACTCCATATATCAACTGATACACAACTGCAAAGTTTTTTAATTATGAGGACTTTTTTTTCTTGAACTTTTGTTTATAATTTGACATTGTGTTTGTCTGCTCTTCGGTATGTGATAGTCTATTGTGAAATCTTATGTCTTATATATGAATTTGAACTAGTATTTCAAGAAGCATGCTATTAAATGAATATATTTGCTAGCAATTATAATTACCTTGCCCATAAAAGGTGAAATTCCCTCGCCCCACACTCCCCACCCCGGTCCCACATAATAGTTGAGGGGTAAGTGGTCCATTAGGGGAGGAAAATACTATGGACTTGTTTGGTAAATGATTGTTAGCTGATAGCTATTTGGTTAGAAGGTATGACTAGTTGATAACATTAGCTGATAGTTGTTTGGTATAATTTCTTTTCTCAAAAAGTTAATTGAGAAGTTGTTTTGACAGTTTTTTGAATTTTAGCATTTTGGGGTTACAAAACCTGATTAACCAAACACTTATATTGATTTTTTAACCAAATCAAAGGTCAAATAAGCCAAAATTGGCTGATAAGCTAACTATTTTACCAAACAAGGCTTATGTGTACTCCAACTCTATACTCCCACATCCAAAATCTTGATGTAGACACTTGTATTGGGACCCACATGAAAAAAAAATTAGCTTATTTGGGAGTACATGTAGTATAACTCTTAGGTGGAAGGACCAGATATCCGCAAGGAGCCCACCATATTGAGTGTAACTCCAAGGCCAAGGCTCAATCTTGTGTCCTTGCCCACAATCTAGTCCAATTATAATTACCTTGCTTCCTAGCACTACAAGATCACTTCATAGGCTTGGTCTGTGGGATGTCTGGTCTGATTATACAAGTTGCTGAACATGAGAATTGAGAAGTTTGAAGGTGTACTGATGAGTTGCAAAATACAAATTTCATTCTAAGTTCTTATCCTACTGGGTTCTGTAAACTTGCAGGAGGACCGACCACTGTTTGTTCAATTCTGTGCAAATGACCCTGAAATTTTGCTGGAAGCTGCTCAAAGAGTTGAACCGTATTGTGATTATGTGGACATCAACTTTGGGTACCATCCTCTTTCTCACTTATGGTTCTCTAAGCAAATTATTCATGCTGATAATCATGTCATTTCTAGTTCATTAATTGTGTCTGGTATTATGACTCTATATGTGATTCTCCTATACTCTTCACCTGAAAAACTAAGGGTGTGTTTACTAGCCGAAGAAATTCTCCATTTTTCTAGAGGAATGCAGAACTGTAGAAAGGAAAACAGAAAATGCGTTTACTTGTACATTTTTCTAATTTAAAATCAGAGGATGGAGAATGGAAAGATAGAGAAGGGAAAACTAGGGAATTGAAGTAATGATTTCATTTATCTATCTGGCTGTTCTATTTACTCATTCTACAAAACACGTGTGATTTTAATGATTTCACTAATCCCTTGCTTTCTTCCAGTGGTCCTTCCACTCATGTTACTGGATGGCTGCAATTTGTGAATATATTGGTCAAGGCACTAGCCTGTTTTTTATTACCACACAAATTGGTTTTCATGATTAGAACGCAATTATTGCCACTCTCAAAAATTTTCTGTTTTTGTATTTGCTATTTTGCTGTACTTTGAGCAATAAGTTAATCTTGTTGTCTATCAAAAAGATCATTGATTTTTCTTTCATACATTACTTCTATACGCATTGCATATTAACTCATCTTGTACTTTATCCAGGTGCCCCCAGCGTATTGCAAGGCGGGGGAACTATGGAGCTTTCCTTATGGATAATCTTTCTCTAGTCAGGTCTCTGGTAGAAAAACTGGCTAATAACCTCAGTGTCCCTGTTTCATGTAAAATCCGTATTTTCCCTGATTTGCAAGATACAATCAATTATGCCAAGATGTTGGAGGAGGCTGGTTGTGCTCTTCTAGCCGTGCATGGACGAACAAGGGATGAAAAAGATGGGAAGAAATTTCGAGCAAACTGGGATATCATCAAGGCTGTTAAAAATTCAGTGAGAATCCCTGTACTTGCTAATGGAAATATTCGACACATGGATGACGTACAAAGTTGTTTAGAAGAGACCGGTGTAGAGGGTGTTCTTTCAGCCGAGTCTCTTCTCGAGAACCCTGCCCTCTTTGCTGGATATATGACAACCGAGTGGACGAATGGAAGTATAGGAATTAAGGAAGATGGCACAGTTGACCAGGCTGAGTTAGTGGTGGAGTATTTGAAGTTTTGTGAGAAATACCCGGTGCCATGGAGAATGATCCGTTCTCATGTGCACAAGATGTTGGGAGAATGGTTCAAGATCCAGCCAGACGTAAGGGAGGATTTTAATAAACAATCCATTCTTACATTTGAATTTCTTTATGGTTTGGTAAATCAGCTAAGGGAACGTGGTGTGCAGATACCTTTATACGTGAAGGACCCTAACAATGAAGGAATGTCTACAAATGGAATAGTTGCATGAGATCTGTTTTCTCATAACGATTTCATTCCAAGAACATCAATTTACTACTTGCTTTTGCTTATTGTTCTTTTGAGTCTTACTTATCAGATGGTTACTGTGGTTCCCCAAATGAACACCGTGAAACCAGGCGGAGAAAGAAGAGCCTGGATATCATTAAATCTCGAGGTTAAAACTTAACCTTTCACTCACTGCATTAGTATTGATAGGAGTTTATACACAAGCATTTGTAATTCACCTGCCTGGATTCCCTGGAAAAAGGTTTGTATGTACCTTTATATAGTTTCACATGTATGGTTAATGAGCAGATATTTGAGGCTTTTTGATTTGTTTCCAATTTGGATATTATTATGGATGTGCCCTTGTGCAGGTAAACACTGTTGAATAGTTTGAGGATGAGAGTAGTTGATAGTGCATCTAAAGGTAATGCACTGATGGCTCCCCTTTCCTTAAAGTTGTGCTCTCTGCATCCATGTGAGATTTAAAGAAGCTTTCATTTTCCCTCACTGCCCTAAACTTCTCCCCTTGTTATCCCTCCAACTTTACAGCTCTAAAGTTGAGGGAGGATTCATGAATCACATCTCCCCTTCACTGGGAAGTTGACAAGTTAATCCTTAACTTGGGGGAAAATTGATTTTAGGGACTCTAGGCATGAGCTATATTCTCAACCATTGAGGATTTGAGGTATTGGGGAAAAATAGAAGAAAGAAAGTTACAATTTAGCTCAATGTTTGCTTTATTGCTTATGTTTTGATAAGAAGTCAATAACAACATGTTTGGTTCACCGGGAATCGAATAGCATTCCTTGTTAATCCTTTTATTACTTATATTTTGACGGGACTTGATATTAGGTTATTTCTGAATCCCCATGGATATTTTATTTTTGTAATGCCTAATTTGCTCGGAATAAATGGTATTTGTGTTGTTTGAATATTTATTTTATTTATATATATATATATATATATTTTAAACCATTCAAACACTGGAATGGGAATCTCGAATTGAAGTATATTTATTTTGCAAACCAAACAACTAAATAGGATTTGTATTCTATTCTTGTTTATTATGTTCTTTATGGAATATAATTCATAATCCTCTAAAATTCATTATGTGAACCAAATGTGGTATAAATGTAACTAGAACATGGTTCACACCAAAACCAAGTGAAATGAGTTTAAATTTCTTTAAATTGTTTTGATTTTGAACGTCGTAAAAAGAATATCATGTTTTGTGAGAATTTTTAAATTAGATTTGGCAAATATGGTACTCTAAATTAATTGAAATTTAATGTAACTACCAAGAAAAAAATTTGTGTGAGATTATAGATCTCATGGATCTTTGTCTGTAAGATGGGTCGGTCAAGATAAAATGTAATATTTATAGTAGCAAATATAATACTAGATCATTAATAAAATGTTTATTACTTATGTAGGAAAATGTAATACATTTGAAAAAAAATGTAACACTTTTACATTTTAATGTAAAAGTATTACATTTGTCATAAAAAATATTTCATTTTTTCTTATAACAAACATTTTATTTTTGATATAGTACTACTTTTGTTAATATAAGTATTACATTTGAATATTAAGTTGACTCAATGTCTCATGAATAAAGATCGTGAGACGGTCTCGTACAAGTTTAATTTAATTACCAAATATTTGAAATTTAATACGACATAGTTTAGTTGTATCTAATAAAAAAATGGTAAATGTACTTCTAGAGTAAAATATCCCACTTTCTACAAGTAATAATCAAGTAACATATATTAGAGAACAAAGGGTAAAATAAAATAACATATAATACGGCCCTACATGATATGAAAGCAAAGAAGGAAAAAGATTATAGTGTAGGAGCGGAGCCACAATTAGGGCAGAGTACACTGAGACTGGAAAAGTCTGAAAGCTAAAGACTAAATATCCACTCAAATAATGCTGCCGACACTATAAACAATTTTATATATATGCCTCACTTAAATACTATGTAGCATTCAACTTTGCAAGTGGTTTTAATTTGTCCATTAATTCTTGCACGTTGCCTGTTGCGGTTCTAATCTCCTTCATTAATCAAACCAAGATGGGGACCATATATATATATATATATATATATATATATATATATATATGGTCTCGATCTCATGCAACCGGCCGTTTAGGAGAGAACTGCGAACCATCGAGTGCGCGCCACGTGTTCTTTGGTGCATGTAAATGTGTTATATGTACAAGTAGTTGGTGTACCTATGCAAGTAAAAAGTGTAGGTAAAATCACTTACAAGTGCACCTACTTTCACCTACAAGTGCACATAATTTTGCTTTGTTAACATTTATTGATCTGGTGCATCTACTTTAACCTACGAGTGCACCTACTTATAACTATAGGTACACCTAGATCTGAACACGTGGTGCGCGGTATGGTTCGCAGTTCTTTTCTGGATAGGCAGTTCGCATCTAAACGCGATCATATATATATATATATATTTATATATTCTTAACCTAGATTTTCTTACTTTACTTATTTAGTTATATCTTGAATTTTATGAACTCACCCTAAGCTCATATGGAAATAAATCGAATCAATCTAGCTTTGAGACACAGAATCAAAATTTTTGTCTACGAGAAGGTTAACCTAAACCTGAACTCCCAATATTAATGTGAAGAATTAAACTTGAATACACAACTACACCCTAAAACTAAAAGTAAATTTTAAATAAAAATTTTCATATTGTATAGGGCAGGGACAATAATTTTCCATAGCCCGAAGTGGGGTCAGTACAAAGAAGAAGAAAAAGAAAATAACAAAATATTTGAGGATGATGTTCTTAGATAACGTCGTGAGTCGTCATTTTGGGAATTATTTATATTGAAACTGACATATGCTGATATCACCTACTTTTATAGGCCATTCAATTTTCCAATGGGAGATTCGTGAATGGAAACAAAGAAGGTAAGAAATAGGATTATAGCACTATCGTTCTTTAAAGCTTCATTTTATCTTTTCTCAAACTACCAAGCATGGGACAAGGGTAGTAATGTAATTTTACTTAATTTGTCATTTATTTTCAGGTGATGTCACTTGCCTTAGCTTTAGATTTGTACTCCTTACTCTTTGTTGAAATTCATTTAGTAAAGAAGTAGTAGATATTTCATGCATGCTACCTAAAAGGTTAAATGATTCGTTTTGATGATGTGAAGTGATAAAATATCATTTCAATGTTGGTAGGACAGTTGGGTTAATTAATTCTTATTTCGACAGTCAATGATACATAATTCTTATACCAAAAGGTCATAAGTTTAATTTTTGCTAACACTTTCTTGTTTAAGTTAGTCAAATTGAATTTTTCTAGTGCAGTTTGTCCACACTCTAATGGAATTTTCTTGTCATTCAAAAAAAAAAAAAAAGAGTTAATAATAGTTAAACTTTCAAATTGAGCATTTGTGGTTCTTCGACTTTCAAATTTAACCATTCATGATCCAAGTTAACCACCCATGGTCCTTCAAGTTTCGAAATTTAACCAGTCGTCGTCCTCTTAAAAACACTATGGTTGGTTAAAGTTTAATAGTTGAAGGACCATGGATAGTTAACTTAGACCATGGATGGTTAAATTTAAAAGTCAAAAAATCATAAATGGTCAATTTAAAAGTTTAGAACTAAACGTGACAAAACCACGGACCACCTCAAACTAAAAAGTAAAAACACAGTTATCGGTCACGAGTATGTTTGCCAGCTCTACAATATGGGAGGAATTGACTTTTAAAAGATGTTGGTCCCAATGTTGCCCCTCCACAACGTAAGAGATCGAGATGAGTGTAAATATGTGCGCACAAGAAGAAGCTTTTTCCTTCCTTAATTTCCACCACCAAACAATCACATAGTAATAGTCAAACAACCATAAGTCATGCACTAGCAACACAACTTTCTACGTGCCCCACGTACCAAATATTGTGCCAAATTCACACACTCACATCATTTTGTATTTATTATCGTTCCGTAGTCATCAAATTTTTACCTACAGATTCTCAATGAAATTCAAAAATTCACACTATCACTAGAGCAAGATTTTAAGATAACTCATCGAACCATCTGAGTTAATCTTAGGGGACCTAAGTAAATATTGGCCTTATTCAGTTAGCGAATAACGAATTATATTAATGTGTTTGAGCAACATATTATATCGCTTGTAAAAATATGTTTAATAAAATTAACTGTTTATGTTAACGGTTAACAGGTAAAATGACCTATAATGATTTACATATATTCCATAATAATAATAATACTAATAATAAATAAATAAATAAATAAATAAATATAAAGGGAGTAGCGTGCCCTCCGAATCTGCTCCCCTTTTGTTTTCTCACTTTTTCCACAAAAGTCGGGATGAAATCTTAAGACTCTTTTATTGCTTAACTTTTCGTTGCCCATTTGAACAAATGGGCAACATTAAGGAGCTGAAACGGCTCCTCTAGTTTAGAATTTTTTTTTTTAGAGACATTTCGAAAAAAAAAAAAACAAAACAAAATTTCTTACTCCAAAAGGCCAGCAGCAAACGTTGCAAAATACCACATTTGCAAGAGCAAAGGTTTTCTGCACCAAATCGCTGCATTACCAAACGTTTTCTTTATCGTTTTAAGTAATTCCAAATCGTCAAAATAATAGATCCACCATTTACCAAACAAGGTCATCAAGTATCCATTGCCGTCCCAAGACAACATAGCAAATGATTAGCATTCACATATACTGGGCACTGGCTGTGATCATACAAAGGTTTAGGGGTCGTTTACCAACTTGGAAAAATTGAGGATTTTCCAAAAAATTGGAGAAATTGAGAAGTGGAAAAATAAAAATTGGAGAAGTTGTTTACTAAATTTCTTCTTCCAAATGCTTACTCCTTCTCCATTTTCCAAATTCATGTACAAATATGGAGAAAGCTATTTTAGATCTCTCCAAATGGAGTAATGGAAAAATCACGGGTGAACAGTGTTTAGTGCGGGAGTGCAGCTGATCGAATCCTGTTGGATGCATAATTACTTTTGCTTCTTCAATTCCTTCTTCAACGTCTCAGCACCCCTTCTTTAGTGCGGGAGTGATCGAATCCTGTTGGATGCATAATTACTTGTGCTTCTTCAGCATCTCAACACCCCTTCTTCAATTTTTGATTATTATTATTATTATTATTATTGAAGCACATCTGTTCTTCTTCAATATTTGATTATTAATTTTAATAATATTATTATTATTAAATTATTATTATTGATATTTTATTATTACTATAATTATTATTAAATTATTATTATTATTATTGTTGTTGTTGTTGTTGCTGTTATTATTATTATTATTAAATTCTTATTATTACTATTATCATTGTTATTATTATTATCTTTGTTGTATAAATGTACAAATGTTATGTGAGATGATTGTATTTAATAAAATAGAAAATTAGAGAAATGAAAAATTAGAGGAATGGAGAAATGAAAAACTGGAAGAATGGAGAAGAAAAATTGAAGAAATGGAGAAATGAAAAAACAGAGAAGTGAAATAAACGACCCCTTAAACTTTCCACCAACTTCCTTTATATTTTACATCACAAACTGTACTAAGTGAACAACCACATTAAATTCCACAACTCTGTCCTGTCCAGCCTACATATATGGGCTACCTCCATCTCCATTCCTGCAAAAAAAATCCCACTCATAATGAGAATGGCACCCAGTTTCAGTTTCACCCCATTTGGAGCAGCAAAATGTCTCCTTGTCTTCTTCTCTCTTCTCCCCACTGCCATTCCATCAGAAATCATGCCTGGGGAAGAAGAAAGTAAAGAAACCTCCCCTCCTGCCTCCCTTGTTTATAATGTCGACTGTGGTTGTTATGTACCTCCACCCCCGCCGCCCCCATGCCCGCCGCCGCTGGATCCGGTGATACGGAAGTCGATTAAAGCCATAAGGACTTTCAAGAAATCGATAACATATGACCCACAAAACATCACCCAAAGCTGGGAAGGCAATGAGCTGTGCATAAATAAGAAGAAGTACCAAGGGTTCTTCTGCTACGTGCCCAGAGGCGGCGACAAGAAAAGGGTCGGTGGGATTTACTTCAACGGCTACAACTTCAACGGTAACGGCCTGTCGCTTAACAGCTTCGTGGAATCCTTCAACGACTTGGTCGTCATCCACGTGAATTCCAATAACTTCACCGGAGCTCCGGGAATCCCCGTCCAGAAATTCCCCACGCTCTTCGAGCTTGACCTCAGCAACAACAAGCTCGCCGGCGCGTTCCCCACCGCCGTCCTTGAAGCCACCAACTTAACGTATTTGGATCTCCGGTTCAACATGCTGACCGGCCCGGTCCACCCGCAGGTTTTCACGTTAGACCTCGACGCTCTGTTCCTCAACAACAATTTCTTCTCCGGCCCGCTCCCCGACAACCTCGGATCCACGCCGGTTTTCTTCCTCACCTTAGCCAACAACCAATTCTCCGGCCCCATCCCCAAAACCATCGGCAATGCTTCGTTCCTGCTCGAAGTTCTGTTCTTGAACAACAAACTCTCCGGTTGTCTTCCTTACGAGATTGGGTTACTCAAAAACTCGACAGTTTTCGACGCCAGCATTAACCAATTGACAGGTCCCATTCCACAATCCTTTGGGTGCCTGGAAAAACTGGAGATTCTGAACCTGACAAACAATCAGCTTTATGGGTCTGTTCCAGAATCTTTATGCAAGCTGAAAGATCTGGAGGAGCTGAGTTTGAGCGGCAACTATTTTACCCAGATTGGGCCGGAATGCAGAAACCTTCTGGAGAAGAAGGTTCTTGATATAGACAACAACTGCATATTGGATCTTCCCAATCAGAGAAGTGCCCAGGTCTGTAAAGATTTCTTCTTGCACTACCAGAAATGCCCAGACCATAAATCCTTGTTGTATGTGCCTTGCGACATTGATGAATCTCCCAGGAAGGCAGGTCCCCATCCCCATCCTCATCGTCCTTACAAAAAACATAAAAGAGGTTCTTCAACTACCTATGCGGCCCTCAAGGTTGACAGGCCATGAATGATGAATCTGCAAGTTCCACTTCTTCTGGTGTATGTATGTATGTAATTAATTACCTCAATAGTTTCGAGTAATTATTTGGTATTGATTTTCTTGTCTCCCCACATTGGGCTTAAGCCCTACTACATAGGCAAGAACTTCATCATATTTGTAATTGTTCTTCTTTAAGGTTGTTTGTAAAACTAGGTATGTATGTATTGACTTCTAAACTCATAAATAATTGAAGAATTGGCAAAAATGGTGCCTTCTTCATTGCTCAATGTAGTTTCCTTGTCCAGTTCAGGCATCTATCAGAGTTTGATGCATCTATATTGATGAAAATTTGAGCTAATATATAAAGCTCGGTCACTCATAAGTTAGCTTTTGTAGTGTAATTAGGACTTGTATTTATATTAGAACTATCAATAAAGCCAAAGTAGAGCATATCCAATCATTATATCATGGACTGATCCACCTTGCAAGATGGACCATTGACATAATATTCATTTTTTAGTACATTAAGAATGAGTATACTATCAGAAGAAAAAAAAAAAAAAAAAAAAAAAAAGAACTTTCAATACATTAAAAATGAACGTTCAGTATACTAAAAATAAACATTTAATCATGATTCACATTGCAATGTAAACCATGGTCCATAGTATAATCATATCACTATTGGCCTCAGAAGACAAAATTATATTAACCCCAAAACATGGAATGAAATCTATGAAGAAGCAATCAAATGATTAATCAGCCAAATCCAAAGCAAAGAATAACATAAGCTTGTCTAAACAGTTAACACAAGAAAAAATCAAACAAACAAAGATTCCTGATAACCTAATACATTATGAAGTTGGGGAATCAAAGTGTAGTTTGATGGTAAGTTCGAACCCCACCGACTCCCATTCCCATTAGATGTGTACTAAAAAGTTAGAACTTCACAAAGTTGTTAGTAACTTTACTGACTAAATGCTTTCCATAAACAGCTCCTTTGAAGTTCTTTGTCCCACCAGTTCTCTGTACACACACTTCCAGTGGCTCTACTGATGCATCGAAGTTGGGCTGCATAACGAATGCAAATGCATGAAACTCCATTCAAAAGTAGTCGTTATGAAGGTTGCAAACCGAAGAGTGCTAACCTCGTAAAAGTAGGCCACACAAACGCGAAACTTTGGAGAGTTATTGATGACCTGGTGCAAGGTTGATTCGTATATGCCATTTGACAAGATCTGCAGAGTTTCCATCATTTTGAAGGTCATAGTTATGCAATGAAATCGAATCGAATGCAGAAAAACGAAATTTTCAATGAATTTTTACCTTTAGCATATCCCCAATATTGCATACAAATGTGCCGGGGATGGGTGGTGCAGATATCCACTCACCTGACCTGTTTCTTACCTTCAAAATGCTCGCCAGAATTAGATTGGCAACAAAAAAAAAAAAAAAAAAAAAAAAAACATATAAAAAGAAACTCTCAGAGAATCGAATGTATACTTGCAGGGCAGTAATGTCTTCATCCTGATTAACCAGTGTTAATAGTCCTGTATAATCAAGAAGAAAACAGGTGAAAATGAGAAAATCAATTCACAAGTAAAACACCTGATCAGCGGGAGAGCAGAAACATTACCATAGTCTGTATGAGCTCCACTAGTTTATTCCAAGGACACCAAAACAAGCAGAAACAAGGGTTACTTACTAAAAGTATAACGAAAAGCCATCAAGAAAAAGAGAAAAGAACTGAATGAAAAACAATATATATTACCATCCAATATCTTTTTGGGGAATATCCTGGCCATTTGGGCAGGGAGCACCAGGGTAACCTATTATACGTAAAACCCAAAATGGGTCTCCAGCAATTTCACCTTCAATTTCATCCACAGACCCACCCAATGCTAGAGCAATTCCTCTCATTATCTTTCTCGACAGATCTGTGTTACATTAAATTTCACAAACACCTTTGAAGATTGCATATGTGCAAGGAGTGACAATGCCAGAATATCTGGTTAGTGGAGTCATCCAACAACATATAAACCATTTGTCTGGCAAATTAAATTACACTACAAGGAAAGACTCATCAAGCACATCGAGTCAGTCAAGAACTGATATATAACTTGATTTTAACAGTTCGGTGAGGTTAACTGACCCCATTTGCCACATTCTAGTATCACCACTAAAGGGAGTCATTGGTTAACAAACTAAGTCACCTGTACAAAGGTTGATATATTCCTCCATCAATCTTGCAAAATCTGGGGGGTTACTCGGCCTGCAGAACAAAGAGCATCAGTGCTTTTTTCCTGTTTTTTTACCCTCCTCTTTCCCTCTATATATCATAAGTCAGTGCACTATAGTGATCTCATTCACGGGTTCAAGTTGAAACAAATGAAGAAAAGCAGTAACTAAGGTGATCTCATTCACAGGTTCAAGTTGAAACAGACACAACACAAAGTTCCAACAAAAGATGAGGCACTTTTAGAGTTGTAATCTGAGTCCAAATCACTCGGTGATGTTCGGTGGTTGAAATTCATGGAATATTTCTCTAAAATTGAGGAGGAAAGATATGGAAAAAAAAAATATAAAGCAATCATGAGAGGGTCATTGCAAAGGAGAGCAATTATCTTGTGAGCATACCATTGATTAGATCCTTGCATAACTTCTCCAAGATCTCCATACATTCCATCTTTCACTTCTTTATAGCACTACTAGCTCCAAATACAAGCAAAAATGAAAACGAAACAAATGATCAAAACAACAAACTCATGATGGAAATTGCACGGGCATAAGGACTCTTGTAAATCGCATACAAATAACACTGGCATAGATGGGTTAAGAAAGGTCTTTAGTAGCACAGACAATTTCTTTACTTTAGAAGATATCTTTGTTTTATTATAAATCTTTAAGTATATTTCGGGGAGAAACAAGCTATATGGATCTAACAAAAATATTTACATGTTTTGCCCAACGATTTTCAGAGTTATCTACTCTAAAAAACCGTAAGTTATGTTGGCCCAAACACTAAAAAGATCTTAATGCTTTTAATAAGGTTAGATAAGAGACAAAAGCCTTTTCTCAATACAAGAAACTCCAAAGTTGAGGTCTTTTTTCAAGAAATTTTAGCTGGGCCAAACAAGCACTTAGCCTAACAAAACATACATCAATAGCTTCATGCATGTCTGGGGCGCCTTTGGTTATGTTTTGCCCAACCCACTGATATCCTCTGCAAACAAATTAAAGTATTATAAAATCATAAGCATATGGTAATGGAGACTACGGAATAAACTTGGTTCAACTTCAAAGAAAAAGTGTGCTGATTGGAATAACCTGTATCCAGACGCTGCAGAGAGCTTAATCTTGAGTTTCATGTCATTTGGCTGATCAAAAAAAACATGCGATATATGTCTAATCTCTTTGATGAGAGAATCAGGGATGCCATGGCCCTTCTGCAAGCAATGGAAAAGCAAAAATATGAATCCTATTCTCAGGAAACACAATGGAGAAACCAACTGCAATATAACCAAATAGTTTAAATTGCATACCATAATTAAGTGTGCACTGCTCAATATTATGGTTTCTTAAGTGCCAAATATATTTAACACTTATAAGAAGCACCAATTTGGTGTTGCATACTTTTTAAGTTTTAACTCAATTTAGTGTGGGAAGTAAAAGGGAACATGAAGAACAAGGAATTAAAAGAAAAGAGGGGGAAGATGGGGCATTTTTTAAAAAGGTAGTCATGTATATAACCCACCTTTTTTTTATACATCTAAGGGAAGGAAGATGGAGCATTGAGCTGATACCATTAGGCAACCATAAATATGCATGAGAACAAAGCAATATTATATCAGATGCGAACTCCCATCTAGGTAAGAACATGTGAACTCTAAAAGTGCACTCTACACAAACTATAAATGTGGCACACTTTTATATTTAAAAGTGTAATTCCAAAACTCAAAAAGTATAGTTCAGAAACTATAAAAGTACACAACAAAAAACTTTAAAGTGCATTTAGAGATCTTAATATGCAAATTTAGAGTTTTCTGGTGTACACTTTTATAGCGTGTGAAGTTTACTTTATGAGCTTTCTGCGGTGGAAAATGTTTTATTCCCCTCCAATATTTTACCTCTTGATGTGGCTTCCATTCATTGGTAACCCACCACTAATTAAAAGTAGCATTTAGTTACCAAGGGATGGATTGGAGGGGAAAAATATGAAGGGTATCTAGCATTACTCTTTTGCAGTAAACTTTAAGAATTCACACGTTCTAACACGGACGCGAGTTCTTGTCTGATTCGTTTTCTATATACTATATAATTACTATTATTACTTTATTAATACATGTATAAATGTAATAAATTATGCTAGGAGAGTAGTTTTATAGTGTTTATCTTTTATTTTAAAACATTTAAAATTCACTAAACAGGTTAGGGTGCATATTCCTATATGGATTAGAATGGGTATTTTTTGAATCGGGTTATAGGCGGCCGCCATAGCTAAAAGACGAAAAGGATACAGCAAAAGATATATTTACCACATAAAAGAATCCGGCTTCTCTACAAGCCTGATCTAGCTGTCTAACAACTTCGGCCACGCCCTCGTCTTGGCCAATGTTCGGATGATCCCACTTGTCCACAAGAGGGCTTACATCTGTCGAGTGCATTAGGAACTATTCAATTAAGCAGATTAAGTTACAACAACGTTTAAGCCAAAAACCTTAATCTCAGAAAGCTTTTAGCGACTTCATGCTCTCTACCCCTTCTAATATATATATATAGCTCAACAACCTTGTACATTGCGAGTTCACAATCTACAAGCAGCGCAAAAGGAACAAAAAGTTGTCGGAAAATTAATTGAGAAGTTTTACCAATTAAAGGAATTGATTTGAAGTCGGTAGCCATGGCGGTTCCAGCTCTCTCTGTGTCCTCTCCCTTCGCCTCCGCCTCACTGCACCTCCGCAAACTCCCAGTAACAGTGCAATAATACAACCGGTATATATGCCAAAATGGCAACGTCCTTTTGTTTTTTAATGGGATGTTTTGTAAATAACTATTAATTGATTGTTTTATTGAGTTTGATTAGTTGAAAGTATTATTAAATCTTTAGTAAATTAAAGTTGATTACATGTAAAATGATTTTCTTAAAAATTTAATAAAAAAATTATTTAGAATAATTTGTTGAACTTTAACATTTTCGAATAATAAGTCGTTACAAAAAACTGATTAACTAAATATTCGTATTAATGGTTTAACCAAGTTAAAGAGTTAATAGTGGTTTGTAAGCACATAATCCACGTTATAAACAGTAAATACGTGGCTAAGGAAAAGAGTTAGGATCACCAACCTCCAGCCATAGCTTTGATTCTTGATCACCAGGGACTCGCTGCAGAAGTTCCTCGGGCTGCTGTAGAATCTGCGTAAGTTCTTTATGCCAATGACATAAGATGCTTCACCCATATCTTTCATATCAAAATTTTTGGAAAGGAACTGTTTCAGGTCACGAAGCATCCCCACCTCATTAGTGGCGAGTAGGATATCATCCACATATAAAACAAGGTAACATATTTTACTCCCACTAACTTTCTGGTATATACAAGGATCTAAGGGACTTTCAACAAAATCAAATGATGAAATGACCCCGTCAAACTTAATATACCACTGACGGGAGGCTTGTTTCAAACCGTATATGGACTTCCTAAGCCTACACACCAAATCCTCACCCCCTCTAGAAGAGAAACCTTCAGGTTGTTTCATATAAACTTCCTCTTCTAGATCACCATTTAGGAACGCGGTTTTCACATCCATTTGTTGCAACTCAAGGTTAAAGTGTGCAACTAAAGCCAGAATGATCCGAAGAGAATCTTTCTTTGATACAGGAGAAAAAGTCTCCTTGTAATCAATTCCTTCTTTTTGAGTAAATCCCTTAGCAACGAGTCTGGCCTTGAACCTCTCAATGTTACCTAATGAGTCTCTTTTGGTTTTAAATACCCATTTACAGCCAATCGGCTTGGCCCCATTAGGTAACTCAACAAGGTTCCAAACTCCATTACTCTTCATGGAATTCATTTCATCTTTCATGGCTTCTAACCACAAATCGGACTGTGCACAATTCGTAGCTTGTGAAAACGTTATGGGATCATCTTCAGCTCCAATGTCAGATTCTTGTAGATACGATACGTAATAGCTAGGAACTGCCGAACGCCTTACCCGAGTAGACCGTCTTAATGTTGTAACACCAGTACCTTGTGAAGGTTGTGGCGCCATTTCCTCTTCAGGAACTAGATGAAGTTCTTGAATTGGTTCAACTTCAGACTGTGCGGGTTCAGGATCTTGCTGAAAATCCTGATTTGGTTCAACCATTGGCTCGAAGTCTAGTTCAGGAGGTTGCTGTAAGTCTTGAACTTGTTCTTCCAATGGTTGAGTTTCAACAGCTTGTGGAATCTCAATAATGGGTTGTACAATCGCAGGTGTGACTGAAGGCGCGCTGCGTATAAGTGCAACTCCGTTAGATGACGTTGAAGGGCAAGAGTCAAAATGATCAAATAAAGGAACTAAGTCCTTAAATCGATCTCTCCCACTGATCAAGTCATCTTCAAGAAACTTAGCATTTCTCGATTCCACTATCCTAGTTGTATGTTTTGGACAATAAAACCTATAACCCTTAGAAGACTGTGCATACCCAATAAAGAAAGCACTTATCGTCCTCGGGTCAAGTTTCTTTTCATGTGGGTTATAAATCCTCACCTCAGACGGACAACCCCAAACACGCATATGAAGCAAACTCGGTTTCCAACCTTTGAAAAGCTCAAAAGGTGTCTTGGAGACAGCCTTGGTCGGAACCCGGTTTAATATATACGTTGCCGTCTTGAGAGCGTCGGTCCACAATGATTTTGGAAGTGTGGAGTTGCTTAGCATACTCCGCACCATGTCCAAAAGAGTCCGATTCCTTCTTTCAGCAACACCATTTTGATCCGGGGAACCCGGCATGGTGTATTGGGCAACAATCCCATGCTCTTGAAGGAATTTAGCAAACGGACCCAAAGCTTGTCCATTTTCTGTGTATCTACCATAATATTCACCACCTCTGTCTGACCTAACTATTTGTATTTTCTTCTTGCATTGGTTTTCAACTTCAGCCTTAAAGGTTTTAAAGGCATCCAATGCTTCATACTTATGATGAAGTAAATACACATAGGTAAATCTAGAGAAGTCATCTATAAAGGTAATGAAATATCTCTGACCCTGCATATCCATATCTGGACAGCATATGTCAGTATGAATTATTTCTAACAATGTTGAACTCCTATTGGCACCTTTCTTTGACTTGTTAGTCTGCTTGCCTTTTATGCAGTCTATACAAGTCTCAAAATCAGTATAGTCTAGAGTAGAAAGTACTCCATCCTTTACCAACCTTTTAATGCGATCAAGGGAGATGTGTCCCAATCTCCGATGCCACAACATTGAAGATTTATCGTTAACACTACACCGTTTGGTGCCAGTTTGAACATGTAAGGAATCATAACTTGCAACGTTTTGTAAGTGAAGACAATAAAGGCCATTAGACAATGTACCATTTCCAATACAAGTAGAATTATGAAACAATTTAAAATACTTGTCTGAAAAGTTAAAACTGAATCCCAAAGGTACAAGTCTCGAAATGGAAACCAAATTTCGTGAAAAAGTTGGTACGTAAAATGTCCTTTCTAAATTCAAAACGAAGCCACTTTCTAAAATCAGCTTGCAAGTCCCTACAGCTTCAACCGGCGAGCCCATCTTATTTCCGGAGAAGATGTTTCGCTCACTTGACATCGGTTGTCTCAGATTTTGCATATCCTGTAAAGAATTTGCAATGTGGATTGTTGAACCAGAATCAATCCACCAAGTGTTAGCATTAACGTCTGACATATTGGATTCAAAACAAACAAAGGAAGAGGTCATACCTTTCTCAGACATCCACTTCTTAAACTTCGCACAGTCTTTCTTCACATGCCCCTTCTTCTTACAGAAGAAGCATTTCTGTGCTTTCTTAATGTCGGTCTGAGGGGATAATTTTGCTTTCCCTTTAGCTGTAGTGTGGCGCTTTCCAGATCTTCCCTTAGGCTTGGCTATAGCAAGCATGACATTCTCCCCTTTTTGTTCCTGGCGTAGTCTCCCTTCTTCTTGCACACACTTATTAATAAGATCATTAATAGACCATTTCGTGTCATGTGTGTTATAGGCAATTTTGAAGGTGCTATACTCAGGAGGGAGAGAGTTGAGTGCAAAATGCACTACAAATGAGTCTGGCAGCTTGATCTTCAACTTGTCAAGCTGTGCTGCAATGTCACTTAGTTGCATTATGTGACTGCGCACACCATCGGCAGGAGAAAAACGAAGGGAGGTGAATTGCATTATTAAGGTGCTTGCTAGGGATTTGTCAGAAGTTTCATACTTCTTGTCAATGGCCTCAATACACTGTTGAGCGGTTTTAAGTGTATCAACCGTGCGACGTATATTACTCGGAACCCGAGACTGAATGAAAAATATGCACAGGCGATTGGATCGTTCCCACTTAGCCCAAAGGTCTTTGGCTTCTTGAGAGCTCGTCGCGGTTATAGCCGGGGGCTCTGAATTGTAAACAGCATAGTCCATCTCTCTCATGCCAAAGTAGATTAGGAGTGAATCCCGCCAGTGGCTATAATTATTAGCAGTAAGCATCGGAACATGAATGGGTGAGCTAGTTGGGGTAAGTTCTGAAAGGAAATTATGAATTGGTTAGTTTTTGATTTTCGAGGCATAAATGAACTAAAGTGCATGTTTTGCCAATGCAAACTTATGCAAAAGATAAACTCAAATGCCATAAAAATTGCCTGTGGGCTAAATTTTTACGCATAACGAATTTACCAAACTGAATGGTGAAAACCAGAAAGGGTACGGTTTGGGTGTTTCCACCCTTGATGACAAAACTACCAAAACTATATGCCGATACATAATCCCTGTGGGCAAATTATGATCATAGTCTGGCATTTCATCCTAATCAATCCTACAAATACAACAAAATTGCATGTGGGCTAAATTTCGCCATATCATATAGAATTAATTACAAGGATATTGCCAACTCTTTATGTGAGTTAACCTGAATACAATTTAAGCAATTAAAGATGCTGTGGCTACTCTTTAATTACAAAACTGTAATCACTTGGCAAAGGGGAGTTTAAAGCCTCGCAAACAAATTAAACCAAAACATGATAGACAATCTTTAGGTATACTCCCAGGAAAGTTGGTCGAGACGAAGCTCGGTTAAATACCAACTCCTTAGACAGAGTAGCGTTGCAAGGGGACTAGTAGCAACAAGGCATTTAAGCCAGGGCCATAGAACTAGTATACCTCCCCAAGAAACTTCCCTAAGTCATGTATTCTCATATTTGAAATAAAATTGTTTGGATGATCTATAATATGGTTATAAACCTGTGGATAAGGCCTTAAATTTGGGTAAACTAGAACATTGATTTACTTTATGTGCTTCATTGCTTTAGAACGACACGAGCGGAGCAATAACCAAATGAGTAAACTAACATGCTTAATCTATCCTTAAAAAGGCACTAAATTCACCTAAAAGGCACTATAACATGCTTAATAGGCATATAATTCAGACCTAAAGGCACTAGATGCATACTTAAAGAACATGCTTTGCTAACATACGCATAATTATAACAATCAAATAATTAACGCAATAAACAATAAAACATGTTCAGATTATGCATATTATAACTCATGCTCCACAATTAAATTGCGATACTGAATACAATTTAAACTGAAATTCAATATTAAATTAAAATTCCAACAAATTGAGACAGAATAATTTGATCAAGAATTATAATTTAATATTAACTTTAGGTAAAAAAAAAAAAAAACCATATGAATAAAACCCTTAAGAAGAAGCTAAATATGATGAAGAGAAAAAAAAAAGGAAAAAAATTCCTGCAAGCCCAAAAAAAAATTTTAGGCCCAAATTTCTGGCAAGCCCAAAGCCAAATTTTTTTTTTTTTTTGGAGCCTAGGTCTGGCCGAATTGGGCCAGACCCGGCCCAAAAACCAAGTCTCATCATCTCCTTCATCTGCGCATCGCGTACAGAGGAAACGAAGCGGAGACGGAAAGAAGCAGCGGCGGAGAGGCCGGGAGGACCCGGCTCCAACACCACCGCCACCGGTCGTCACTGCCGCCACGCCTCACCCTTGTCTCCGCCGCCGGCCACCACCGCGCCATTGAAGGAGGCAGTTGGTGGCGACACTATCGGGAGCAACCCAGTGCCGCCACCACTGCCGTCCTTGACGGGAGTCGGCCTGCGCCAGCAGAGGGGTGTGCCTCGCCGGTGAACGGAATCCGGCGAGCACTCCCCTCGCCGGCGAGCGGGAAGAAAAAAAAACGGCGAAGAAATTGCGCAGAGGTTTACGGGGAAAAAAAACTGGAATTTTTTTTTTTTTTTTTAAACTAAATGCGGAAAAAGAACACACAATTTTTCCAGCAGCCCAACACAATTGCACAGTGCATACATATTCTAAATTATACATGAAAAATAACATATGTAAAAAAAAAAACTGAATTGTGCAATTTAAACAAGGCTAGGCAGAGATAAACTTGGCTCTTGATACCACATGTAAGCACATAATCCACGTTATAAACAGTAAATACGTGGCTAAGGAAAAGAGTTAGGATCACCAACCTCCAGCCATAGCTTTGATTCTTGATCACCAGGGACTCGCTGCAGAAGTTCCTCGGGCTGCTGTAGAATCTGCGTAAGTTTCAGTTATGTTTCTCTCACTTCTCTCAGTGACTCTAGATAGGTGTATGATACGTCAACCGAGCAGTGAGAGGACTTAGGGGTCTAAATAACCTACATCCCATCAATGTAGGTAACCAATTACCTAATGCTGACTAAGTTCTAATACTTAGTCAGCCTATTGATTTGCACCACTTAAATTACTATTGTTATTATATAATAATAGACTTAATAATAATAATAACAATATAGGGAAAACGTTACATGGTTAACCAAGCTAAATAAGTTAATTATGTCTCAAAAAAAAAAAAAATAGGACCAATAACTCAAATGTCTTTGAAAAAATTGGGTGACTAGAAAATGCACAGTTAATATTGTACATTGATAATAGATCACAAAATAAACCAGCTTTGATTGGTCAAATAGACTCATATAGTAACATTGATTGTTCATCTAGCATCATGAATTAAAATATGGTCCATCTAGACTATTAGACTCTCAATTATTTTTTCATCTAGCATTTTTAGCAAGTTTCTAACAAGTAACTCATCTAATTTGCTTACATAGAAAAATAAAATAATTTTCCAAAAAAAAAAAAAACAAAACAAAATGAACTGTGACTTATAAATTTTTGACAAAAATAGAATTAACTCGTAAAAAATTATTAAAGAATGCACAGTAAAAAAAATGATTGGAGATTCTCTTCAATTTGCAGCATTTATTTATTTATTTATTTTAAAAAAGAGCTATATATAATTGTAGAAATAATTAAACAAATATGTTCTTTCCAATTCAATAGTAAATACACAGAAAATTATTTTGACGGAATCCCCATGTCTAGAAAAGGACAAAAAGGTTCAAAATTTGACAAATTTTAAATTATATCCCCATTCCCAGTCCACTATCCCCCCTTTTATGCTTTTATGAATCGAAACAATAATAATGTGAAGAATGAAGATCGATCAGACCGATGATCATGTCCGACAAAACTAAGACGACGACGATGATGATGCGTTGTGGCTCCGACAGAAGTTGAAGTTGTTAGCATCCATGACTTCCACCACAAAATGACCAACCATGCCCTTCGTCTCCACCAAGTTTTCTCTACACAAGAACTCCTCGCTCGCGATTCTGTCCGATTTCTGATTGTAATCGTGAACCAGAACGTGCGTTTTCGGGTTGCCGCCTTTCTTGCTACGGGCGAGAACTCCGGCGGTGAATATCGCCGACATTCTCCCCGGCGCCTCCGGCCAATACCCGCGTGGCCCGTCGACCAATATCACATCCCAGTCCACCTCGTACAGCTGGTTGGGGAGATCGTTCAGCCCGAGCTTGCACTCCGAGAATAGAAGGTTCTGGACCGGCCGGCACTCGTTGCGGGCTTGTTCTTTCACGCCGGAGATTAGCTCCTTCATCTCGCTTAACTTGGTCGAGTATTGCACGTCGTAGACTTCGATCTCCGGGTACTTTTCCTCGACGTAGGCGGCGTAGTACCGGCTCTCGTCGATGAACACCGTCCGGCCGTGGTGGTTGAGGGTCCGCCAGAGGAGCGTTTCGTGGGTGAGGCCGAAGACGAGGAAGTTGCAGGGGTGGGAGCCGCACTGGCGGAGGACGTCGGAGATTTGTTTGATGTCGGCGTACGACATCCGGTCGGTGTTGTTGGAGATGGAGGCGTAGTGGACGAGCGCCCTGACGATGGACTTCGACAGCGCGGGAGTGGCGCCGCCGCCGCCGCCGGAGGCGGCGGCGGCGACGAAGGAGGAGGTGGTGGCGGTGATTATGGAGTAGTCTCGCGTGTAAATGAAGGCGAGGAGACAAGCGATGGTGAAGAAGGAAACGAAAGCGAGAATCCAGAGACGGCTTGAGCCGCCTTGTTTTTGGATGTAAGGGTGGAGAAGTATGAGCCGTGTGTTGGTGCCGATGTTGTTCTTCATCTTCTTCTTATTCTTTTGTTACCGCGGTTGAGGGAGGAGGAGATTGGCGGCGCGGCGGCGGTGGTGGAGGAGAGAAGAAAGGGTGGTTGCAGAGTGGAGTTTGAGGGTGCGGGTGTGAATTATTGCTGGGTTACGTTTTAAAGAAAGCGTAGAGGGTGGCTAAAGGAGCGGTGGAATGAAGAAGTTGAAGCAATGATGACAAGAGCAAGCATTTGTGAAGATGACAACAAGGTTCCACCAATATTTTTTGTTTAACATTGCCATTTTGCATGAGGAAGTTGACTTACTCATGTATTAATAATATTATTGGAAAATGCTAAATGTACTTCCGCTCTAAATTCATAGACTTTTTTCTTTTTTGAAAGCAAAGACAGATTATATTATATCAGACCGGCCAACTAACATGTAGACTTGAGTAGAACTGCAGAAGGGTGATCAAAGCTAGGGTTCAACATCACACTCTATTTCTTTTTCGATTGTAGATAATTTTCTCTGCAGTTTCCATCTGTGTATAATACATATATAAATATGTATGTTTGCTGGACTTGGAGGCGATTTAATAATTCATAAATATGTATGAATTGGTGATTTAGTTTTAGTAATTGTTTGTTTAGAGTTGGAGGCGGATGGAGACGGGAGAACCAAAGAACTACCTACTCTAGGAATTATTGAATTAATTAAGAATTGGCTAAGGATTATTGAATTATTAGATAGATTGTCAGATCTACACACTTCGTAAGAATTAAGATATTCTATATATGCATTCAAAAAAAAGATATTCTATATATAGTTTTTTTTTAAAAAAAAAAAATATTATATATATAATTTATTTATTTATTTTTTAAATATGGCCTGGCCAGCGGGCCGGCCCGCAACCCGCGCAGGCTCTAGCGCTCTGCGGGCCATGCCCGTTAGGCCCGCATTTTCGCGGGCCTAATTTCTTGCGGCCCTAACCTGCAGGCTTCGGCCTACTTTGACACCCCTAATGTAGAGTATGTTTGGCAAAGCTTATTTAGGAGCTTATAATTTATTTTAAGCTACTAATAAGCTATAAGCCATGTTTGGTAATGTTTCCAAAACTAGCACATAGCTTAAAATAAGAGTTTATTTCGGAACGTTACCTATCCAAAATAAGCTAGTAGCTTTCCAATTTTTTTTCTATCTTTGTCCTTATTATTTTAAAGAAATGACATCATTTATCTTTCCCAATTAAAATCATTTTCTATTCTCATCTGCAACTTTCACTGCAATTATTATTATTATTATTATTATTATTATTATTATTATTATTATTATTATTATTATTATTAAATGAAGGAGATTCGCAACAATATTGCTACTTCATTATGTGATGCTAGATCATGATTATGCTAATAGTTTTATTTAAAAATGTTAATTTTTTTAAAAACAAAATGTTAAATTTTAATATGTAAATAAACTAATTTAAATTTTATGAAGATGTCATTTTTTGTTTTTTTTACATTTATTAGCTTATCAAAAATCTAATTTTACCAAACACTTTCAAACATAACAGCTAGTTAACAGCTCTTCAGTTTTCAACTTATAACTTCTTTTCAGTTATCTTTTCAACTAGGTTTATCAAACATAGCTGTAGTATGATGGTATCTTGATTATCATTCTAAATGAAAGGTCATAGGTTTGAATCCGATGATGATAACAAAGAAAGTATAGAACAGAATCATGAGTATTTTAAAAGATACGGCTTGATTTTCACCTCTCCGAATATTATTAATTTGAATGTGTGGTCTTAATTGAGAAAACTTGAATCATCCGGGGAGGGTAGTTGGGGCGGAGAAATGAGAATTGGTGAGGTGGCAACGACTCCCTAACTAATTACAAGCAAGAAGTCGCTTTTCCTTAGCTTCTCTATTTCATTCCTTATTTATTTCTCAAGTAAACTCTATTATTAACTACACATATATATACATTATAGTATGATACACCCCTCAGGAACAGGACATACTACCCAACTGCCACCACATTATATTATATTTAATATAATATTCTTCTTAATTCGCGAGGAGTTACACAGACATGTATCATTTTAATAGGAATACAAAAACATTATTAAACATTTGCTAGCTGGAACATCTCAACTATTTTAGTTAGGTTAAATACAATCGTTAAGGTTTTATGTTAATTCTTGGACCTTATATGTGGTCGTAAATAAATTGTTTTTTTTTTTTTTTGAAAGAAGGTCGTAAATAAATTAATAAAACCAAAATACATGTAGTTGTGATTATCTTTAACATTATTGAGAATTTCAATCTACATTGTATCTACTTTCATTAAAAAGTGAGTACGTAAAAATGGAAAACGTATATTTTAAAACTTTTTTTTTTTAATTTGGAAAACTGTTTTTCTATTTTTCCAACCCAACAAAGGATTTTTTAAATAATAATTTTTTCTTGTTTTCCAAAATTTTCAAGAGTAAGGATGGTAGGATGTTGTTTCATGTGAGATGTGTAATACTTTTTAGTTAAAATGTAATATTTTGTTATGTATTAATAAAAAAAGGCAAAAATTTGTGAGAGACCGTGAGACGAGTCGGGAGAATATGAAATGTAATACTTATATTAGCAAATGTAATACTAAATCATGAATAAAATATTTATTACTTATATGAAAAAATGTAATACTTTTGAAGGAGAATGTAATACTTTTATATTTTGATGTAAAAGTATTATATTTTTTATCAAAAGTATTGCACTTTCCCTTATAAGTAACAAACACTTGTCAACATTACTTATAAGGAAAAATATAATACTTTTTATGAAAAAAGTAATACTTTTATATCAAAATATAAAAGTATTATATTTGTCTCTCAAAAGTATTATGTTTTTCGTTATAAATAACAAACACTTTATTCTTAATTAGTATTACATGTTCCAATATAAGTATTACATTTACATATTGACCCAAACCGACCCAACTCATTTCACGAATAATAATCCGTGAGATGGTCTCACAGAATTGTGTGACCCATAAATTATTTTGTTAATAGAAGACAAAAAATGATCATGCCACTATAATACTAGAACCAAAGGATAATGTTTAAAAAAAAAAAACTAAAAGTTGATTGTGACATATAAATCCAGGACAAAAAAATGAAATTAAGTCTTATTATTATCTATATAAATTTCAACTTCATTTTTCTATATTGGTAATTACTATGTATTAGGTATGACAATTGTCCCAAACCCAACATAGTTGATGGGAAGTGGGTACCGGGAGTATCTGTAGTTGGAGAATCTTAATAATCTGATTACTAGTTCTAGAATAGTGTTAAAAATATATATAATTGTATACATGCATTGAAATGGGTACAAATCAAACTATATTATAATCATTCTTCCAAATCTATATTATAATCATGATTACATATCAAATACTTATTCAAAATTACATTTAAATGCAATATGTATGCAACCACGTAATTATACTAATAAACAAAAATAAGACTACTAAGCCAATACAATAAGTTTAGAAACTACACATACGCAATACTACAAATTCATAAACTCACCACATTAATCTCATAAGGTATATATCGACTTAATTTATAAACTTATAGCTTTAAGTTTATTTACCTACAATTCACATATTATGAACTTAAGACAGTTAAAATGACTTGACATAATACACTTATAGTTAACAGATTATATTCTTACACATTTAAGTTTACGTACCTACGGGCTACGGCAAAGCGAGTGTTGACCAAATGAAAGGAAAGAGAGAGAGAGAGAAAAAAAAAAGAGTGCTAATTTAAACAAAATAACTTCATTTTGGACCGGGGCTTCACCTTGTATTGTGGATCATAGTCCAAAATGACATTCAGATTATGTACATGCATTTAACATATTATATACATGTAAATAAATTGAAGGTACCAAATATATTAATTAGAATATGTACACAATTTATTAACTGAAGGTAAATAATAGATTAAATGCAGGTACATAATACGTTAATTGTAATACTTACATAAGTTATGTACTTGCAATTACATAACATGCTAATATGTATATAATATGTTAATTATAGGTACATAATTTAATTATCGTTTTGGATCAAAGTCCACAATGTAAAGTGAATCTCAGTCTGTAATATAATAATTGTACAATGGGTCATTTGGGCCTTTGGAGGTTAAAAAATTACTAAGCTGAATGAATTTCGAATTTCCATTCATCACATGGGCCAGATTGCGACCCAGTCCAGCCCATGTTAAGACAACTTTCTAACTGGCGGTTTAGCGTTTCATAATCAAATGATAACCGCAATCAACTCCCGCGTACGCAGCTAAAGGTTCTACCAATTATTGACAATCACAAACTTTACGACTAAAAAAGAATTACACTTCTTTTTATAATAACGTCTGCAATGAATACTTGTCAGTAATTTGAAGTTAAAGGCTCTACAAATATTTCTGGTCAACTTCGCCATTTTGAGATAGTGGCACGAAGTTGCTCTCCTATATGAGACGTCATGAGTTCGAGTCTCAGTCCATAAAGAGTGGTCTTCCATCTCCGTGAGTGCCTTTTGAGACATTTCTTGAGCCCCCACAGCTCCGCCATGAAGCTAGAAGTCGTCCCAATCTTAGACTTGAAGCCGCAAACGACCCAGTTCCCATTGCAGTTTCGGATGAGCACTCATGCACTAGCCAACCTGTTCAAAATCTTTCTTGTGTTGTCTGTGTTAAGCTTAGAGTGCTAGCTGGCGCAGAATTTAGATAGATATGAATTTGTCATTATATTGTTGTAGGTACTTGTGTACACATATTTAGTGATTTGTAGATAAGTTGAAGCACATTACACGATTTATCTCTTCCACACGTCTTTAGGGCTTGAGCAATGAGGGACCATTAAATTTAAAATTCAAATTTATGTATAACTTTAAGATTAAAATTTTACATTATACACTATATGACACTATGTTTTATTGTTTCAATTTTTGTATAGATTTATTTGGCAAGTACCCATAAAGTTATTGGGATTGATATATTTGAATAAAATAATAAATAACCACTTTTTAATTTAAATATTTGTCAATAAATTCCAAATAGCTTCATTGGCATTGTCTTTTCATAC